GACTGTTGTACTCACGGTATATATACATACGTATGTATGGCTGTCTTTATGAGTCATGTGCTTGCATTACGCAACTGCGTATGCATTTTTAAGTAGCTATGCGTGTGCATAAAAAATATGAATTGTTGCAACATAGCAGCCGCCGCAAATGCCGCAAATACCCCAGCCAATGCCATATAGAGAAGCGCATAATGCGTCGCAGCTAACACACGCATGTATGCACACATATAGCTTAGCAGATTTAATTGTTATGTTAGCTGTTGGTATTGTTGTTGTTTTTTCAGCATTCTTGCCAATGCCATGGTGGCTGTAATTGCGCTTGTGGTGGTGGCATAGAACTACATATGTATATAAGTGGCTATGCACGCAAAAATACTTTTTTGGAGCACCCTGTGCGAAAATAATGTGTTAAATTATCGAAGAACTATACCATATAATCAAGGTCTTATGATTTTGTATGTGATTCAAAGCTTCCAAAAGGCTTTAAAGCTTTCTAAAGTTCGTAGGCGAATTCTTGGGGTAGAAATACTGTAAGATATTTCGGATGGAGCTCCAATTCAGACAAAACTCTCTATCAAAAAAGTCGACAGTGTGAAATGTTCAGCGTGGACACCACACTGATAGCCTGCCAATGTCTAACGGTTTATTATTATTATACACATGGTAAACTACATCTCTACCAGGTAGTCCAGAAATACAAAAAATGTCCAGAAATACAAAAAATGTCCAGAAGTATGATCGCTTAATCCGTGAAAAAAATTCCTCACAGCAAGGTTAGATTAGGTTAGTTTATACCGGCGGGCTGTCACTATATAGAGGCCCATAGGTTTATAATTAGTCAGACTTGATATGCAATTTTGATACTTCATCTAGTCCCTTGAATTGCGAGGCTCCTACATAGCGAAGATGAGTTCTAGATAAGGCCGGCCAGAAGCAGAGGAGATATTTCAGAGTTCTGCAATCTTTAGAGAGATGTACTTGTATATAGAGACTACTCACACGGTCTCACCCGCACACATGTTTTCCTTCAGTGTCCAGGCACATGATTTTGACGATCTTGCAAGTCCTATCTATGTTTTCATCTCAACCTGATCCGTCGTTCAGCACTTTCGGCAATTGCAATGTGTATCATTTTTAGCGGCAAGCGTATTTCCTTTATTGGTTTGATACTATCACATCTACTGCCTCCCTACAAATAAGGACATTCTCTGACGTATTGCGATGTGAGGTTATTGGTTTAATTGACGCTTGGATATCGACGCATGTAAATATGTATATATTGATGTTCGTTGTGTTAATACCTGCGTTATTAGCAGCAGCTTTCCTGACCGCAGTGACTTCCGCCTGAAAGATAACGCAGTATTGGGGAAGCTTAAATGG